AGCCTCGGAAACCCTGTACAGGGTCGCTATGAGTCGGAACCGATTCCACGGCACATAACCACCACCATTAATAGCAAGGAGTCCTGGTGTGGTGCTGTGGGTTAATGCACTAGACTGCAATGTTACTTTGAACCAAAAGGTTGGTGGTTCAAGCTCACCAGCTGCTCATCGGAAACCCTATACAGGGTCACTATGGATTGGAACCGACTGGATGACAGTTAACAGCAGCAGTAATAGCAAAAAAATGATCCAATTATCCACACTGGGATACTCAATAATAGCAATGAACAAATGAATAATTCAAAACCATAAACTGTATACCCACCTACGTGGAAAGCCATTTCAATAGATAGGAATGGTTAAAAACTCTACTCTTATATAAAAAGTTGACTGTTTAAGGCCTCAAAAAAGAGTTTCAATAACTTATGAGCTCTTGTTACCTGCTGTTTTCAATCAGTAAAGTTAACCAAGAATTTTACATTTACTTGTTTCTCACAATGTAAGAAATCCCAAAACTTGTTGTTAAGTGCCATCAAGTTAGTTATGACTCACAGTGACCCTATTACAACAGAATGAAAACACTGCCTGGTCCTGTGCCGTTCTCATAATCCTTCCACGTTCGAGCCCCTTCATTGAAACCACTGTGTCAACTCAACTCATTGAGGATCGTCCTTTTTGCTGACCCTCTACTTTATAAAGCATGATGTCCTTCAAGACATATCCTTCAGTCATATAGTCTACTACAAGTAGTCATATTAGAGAATATATCAGAGGTATACTTTGGTGTTTGCATAATATAGTAATTGTAAACACTGAATCTTCATCTAACCAAAATGATGACCTAACTAAAATGAGGAAGAGGGGATAGGAAGTAACAGGGATAGGAGAAGAAAGCAAGCTACAGCTGTCTGCTCCTGAGTGGAAAGTCAATGAGAAATACCTAAAACTGAAAAGCAAGCCACAGAGGTAAATAATAAAAGCATCTGTAAAATATTTCAGAGTGGCTGCCACAAGAGGTGTAAAATAGTTAAACAAAACAGATGTCAGGGCCTAATGATTTCTGTAGCAAGCTTCCAGATCTCTATACACATCTCACTAATTTTAAAAAGAAAGATAAAACAAAGATTAGCTACAATTCATTACACATTTCAGAATAAGAAAAGGCACATGAGATGACTTTTTAAAATGCAAACAAGTCTTCAATTGCTTAGGTGATTTGTGTTGACATGAAATTGCTTTCTAATAGATAATAGTAAATTTTTCCATACACCTTGAACTTGCCAAAATATCTTATCAATACAACATTAAAATAATAAAACACAATTCAACAAGAAAATAATCAGTTAATTTCTCAAACTGCTTCATTTCTAGATCCTGTGATATTTTTGTTATTACTTTTCAACAGAAAAAGACTTCTTTGTTAAATTTATGTGAAAATCAAAAATTCTGAACAGGGGAGAGAATGCATTTCCTCAGATTATTAACACAATCAGCAACACAAGAAGTTTAAACGGTCTCTTGCTAGAATGTTAGTATCTCATAAACTCAGGAAAGTGTACAGCAAAACAAGGAAAATAAAATGATGATAAACGGGAAAAGTAGTAATAAATCCCAAAGGATCTTATGTAACCCTACCCTTGGAGCACTCCAGTTCAGCTTAGGAAACACACTGCCCCCTAAGGAATTGATAGCTTCTTGAACTTTTGTGGTGAACTCAGGAAATTCTGGTGCCTACAAAGGGAATGGAAAAAATCAGCTGGTCAAATCAGTATAGTCATAATAAGCCAGGAAGGTAAAATAAAAACCTCAAGTTTATAGTTTAAGATAGTAAATATAAAATTTAGAATACAAATTACTAGCAGAATTTCTGGACTCAGAATCAACGATCAGACATTAACGAGAAAGAGGAAAAAAATAACGAACTGCTTAAATGGCACCTTCCAAAAGGATGAAAACCCACAAAGCTAAAAATCTTTAGGCTATAAATCTTTACTGGAGCAGATAGTCTCATCTTTTTCCTGTACAGCAGCTAATGGGTTTGAACTGGCATCCATGGCTTAGCCTACCAGTGTTCCTACAATGAGTAGTCTGCTATTGTTGTTTACTGCCTTTGATTCGAATCTAACAGCGACCGTGTATGGAATTTCCAAGGAGTGGTTGATGGGTTTGAACCACTGACCTTGTGGTTAACAGTTAATTGTTTATCTTACAGCACAACACCATGGGTGCAGCATTATTTTATTTTCAGAACTAAATCAACAGGTTTATGCTGACTGTCAAGATCTAATCCAGTTGCAACAGAAAAGAAAACCTGAGGAACTCTGAAATGAGGCAGTTTTTCTACAGCTATACAGGGAGGCTGTAGAAAATTAGTGAAAAAACAGAATGAAAAGAAAACAGAATTAGTCCATGAACTTTTTGACATCCTCTCATATAACTGTAAGCTAAAAATCAGCCATAATAAAAAGTAGATTAGAGCATAAATGTACAAGTATCTGGAGTCCCAGACAGTCTTTTCTTTAGCATCTCTGTTACACTGGAGTCTTGGTGTGACACTGTAGGATACTGCGCTGGACCGTAATGTCGGTTTGAACTACAGTTGGTTCAAACTCACCAGCTGCTCCTTGGAAACCCATACAGGGCCACGTAAAGTTTGAACCAACTTGACAGCACCTAAAAAAACAACTAGCATGTAACATTAGGAATTAATAAGAAAGTTTTTTAACAGAACTAAGGGTCTCAGTGGGGGGAAAATGTCAATTTCAAAGGTTTTAGAATAAATTAAATTATTTAACAACATCACTATGACCAATTTTCTAGCCTACTTAATTATTTTAAATGGCTAATTATGGGTTCCCTTAAAATACAGAAGTACATATTAATAACAAAGGCTTCTGTGGAACCATCTTCAGAGACTACATCTTTTATACAGAAAAGTGATAGGTATTTAACTACACACATTTAATTGTTCTATGACATAGAACTACAATATGTTATATAAAGTGAGGTTTTTTTTCCTGCTAATAAAGACCATAAGACTATTGCCATAAAATACATTTTGTGAAAAAACTGAAAAGAGACTATTTTAAGGATGATTTGGCTGTAGTAACTTTTGCTGGTAATGCTCCTTCTTTGTTTCTCTCTTAAAATATCTGTAGTAAAATGTTGGTAAACGGTCTTTGAAAAATAAAAACTTTGGATTAAAAGGGAAAGAAAATATTGCAATAAAAACAAGTTTATTAAACAAAAATGTAACATGGGAAGCTATGGTTTCTTTAGAACAATACCATTCTGAAGGAAGTGTTTCCATCTCTCAAAGTCAGCAGTTCAAGCTCCCCAGCTCCTCCTCAGAAACCCTATACAGGGTCACTACAGGTCAGAATCGACTCAGCGGTGCTTAACAACAACAACATCCATTCTCCAAGGAATTCTACAGTCTTTGGTTTACACCGCATCAAAACTGCAGTTTTGGCATCCTCAAGGGACTCAAACCACATTCCTTTTCAAGCAGTCTTTGAGGAAAAAAAAATCTGAAGGGGCAAGACTAGGGCTGTGGGGTAGATAAGGTACAGTTTCCCAAGGAAATCCTCCTAGGGCAGTTCTACTCCCCTTGAAGAATGAGCAAGTGCCATGTTGTAATGGAAAAAATTTCCTCAATACAACTTTTTTGGTCTTCTCCTTGCCAACAGAGATTTCAATTTTCTTGAAACTTTTTCCTAATAAACCCACATTATAGTTCCGTGTCCTTCAAGAAAATCTATCACTACTGCCCCTTTACATCCAAAGTAAAATAAAACATGCAAGCTTTCATTTCTACATGTTAGTGTAATATTTAATACCTAAGGACAGATAGTGGTTTTAGATATTGATACCGGGGTTTTTTCCCATGTACTCTGGACACTATATCTTTTGTACTAAAAAAAAAAGAGAAGCATCTTATTATTTAGAGCTGTATTAAATACAGCTTAAAATTCCCTTAAAATTAGTTTTCTAATTTATGCCTTTACATTTAAATGTAGGAATTTTATAAAAATAATTCTCTTTTACTTTGAGGTATTTTACCTACACTTTTATAAGCATATTTTTTTGCTTTGCCACTCGCTTAAAATACTTTGCTTTAAAGATAGTGTAAGTTAAAAGTGGTAAGAGAACTCTTAAGAGTAACATGTACAATTAATTTCTGTATTTTTATATAAAATCTTGGTTAAAGTCACATACTTCTCTACTCTGACTTAAAAGAAACTGTGATTTTTATGCCATTTATGTATACTCAAGTATAGATTATTTTTCACTTTAATTTAGGTTCCACAAATCCAAAGGAACTAGGTCTATGAGACTAACGTTAGACCTAAGTTTTTCTTTCAAAGCTTAACAGAAATAAATCGAAGCATCACATATGTATTTGGCAATGAAAGGGGAAAAGAGGACAAATCATGTTTGCCCAATAAACAAGAGCTAATTTTTTTGTTTTTCAAAATAATAAATTACAGTTCACAAAGAAGGATATCTGAAATGGCGAGATCATGGGAATTTAGAGGTGTATGGATTTCAACCTAGGGCTAACCCTGTGAAATGACAGCATGCGGCTGTCCTCACAATGAAGCTGCTGTATTCTTACCGTCAGTGTGGCTGTGTTCTCGTCATCCGACCACTGCATGGGGAAGAGGGCAGAAACCATATGTTAAACATAAATAGTGTAAGTACTGTGCTCCTTTACAAAACCATCTATACATCCCCAAACAATCGACAATTACTTTAAAACAAAGATGAGACTGTAATAGGGCAGGTACACTAGATTAATGGAAATGGAACACCAGCATGGAAATCTGGACAATGTTCAAGCACTGCAAAGAATGTAACATTACAGTTAATGAACACTTGGGAAAACAATTGTTCAATGACTACCTAAACTTTCACTGAAACCATAAAAAATTATTATTAAAAAAAAATTGGCTTCCAAAAAGCAGTGTTCCATCTAAAAATGATAAATAGGAGACATCTTTTCCCAAACACAAAATACAAGTAAAAGTATACGTCAAAGTGAGATTTTTTAAAAATATCAAAACCATTTCAGACAGAGATCACTTAATTAGAAGAATCTTTAGAACAAACATTTATTTTATACTAACCTGGATTTCTTCTGCCTCATCATCACTGTCTGGCTGAGAACATGTTGGTGGATCTTCCCTAGAAAAAGAGTGGCAAGAAAAAGGGTTTGGTGTCACAGTTTAGGTATAGTGGGTATACAAATAGAAAACCTCACAATTGGAGGCAACTTTAGACAAAGTTTACTTTCTAAGACTGAAACTAATAAAAAGCAATAGGAAATAAATGAGTACATTTCCAAAAAGAACAGCAGAATAAAAACTTCCAGCCCTCTTCTCAAAATTTACTGAAACCAAGAGAAAGAAAATCTCAAGCACTATCTTTGTTGCTATTGGGTATCATTTATAACTCTGAATCCCAGTATGCAAGAAAGGAATATCAGAAACAAAAGATCAAACAAGAATTACAAAATCAAAGAAACTGCTCAAAAAACATAAAAAAGAAGACAGAAATGAACAGAGAAGAGTATACTAAATTTATAGATTAACAAGTAAAGCCTACATCTAAATAAGATGTGTTCCAGAAAAAGAGAAGTGAGAAAATAAGAGGAAATTATCAAAATTACCATAGACTGAATGTTTTGCAACAGTTAGTCATTAGCTTTGCACCTATATCTTATCTGTAACACAGGGATAGTAGCAACTCTACAGAGTTGTAAAGATTTAAAATATGAATATACCTAACGTGTGTTTTAAGGAGCTCTGGTAGCATAGTGGTTACAAATCGGGCTGGGAACCCCAAGGTCAGCAGTTCGAAACTACCAACTGTTCCGCAGGAGAAAGATGAGGCTTTCTGCTCCCATAAAGATTTACAGCCTCGGGTGGCTATGAGTCAGAACCGACTCCACGGTACATAACAACAACAAACAACAATGTGTGTTTTATAGCTGGTATCTGTTATTATTCTATCTTAAGGGAGAAAGGATCAGGAAAGGAAAATCCCTGGACTAAAAAGGGAGGATGAGGATGATTAGTACTTGGAAGGGAAACACCATCTAAGTCAGACAAACTATAGGCCCTATTCCAAATGTCACCTCTGCTATAAAAACTTTCTAGATCATCCTAGCTTACAATGATAATTTAAACACCAAAAACTGTATCAGGTAACCATTATCAATAGATTTCAGTTTGCAAACCAGATGTACCTACTTAACATCCTTGTTCTAGTCTATTCACTGGACTCTTAGTATAGGCTGTCATAGGAGTCCTGGTGTGGTGCTGTAGGATAAGGACTCGACCACAAAGTCAGTTTGAACAACATCCTTGGAAACCCTATATCAGCGTCACTGTGAGTCAGAACTGACGCTATGAGACTTAACAACTAGGCTATTGGAAAAGTGTACAATAACCATGTTTATTCATCCATTCCCAAATTCTTTGTTAAAACTGTAAACATCTTGTTAGGAGTGTTGAGTCAGTTCCACCTCACAGCAATCCAATAATGTGTTTCTGGGGAGCAGCTGGTAGATTTGAACTGATGACCTTGCATTTATCCTTGTTACTGTTGTTGTTAGGGGTCACTGAGTCAGTTCTGACTCATAATGATTTTATACACAACAGAACATTCCGTTTCATTTTTGACAACTTCTGATTTTCCTAAATTCATACTTCGAACATTCCATGTTCCAATTATTAAGGGATGTTGCAGTTACTTCTCCTCAATTTGAGTTATGCCCCATCAGCAAATGAAGCTTCCAAAAGCTTTACTCCTTTCCAGTCATCACAGTCAACTCTACTTTAATGAAGCGGCTCCTGCCCAGTCATACTGAGTGCCTTCCAACCTGAGGAGTTCATCTTCTGGCAATATATCTGACAAAGCTCTGGTGCTCTTCATCATGTTTCAATATGCAATATTCTGGTACTATCTGACAGTGTTCCACTGCTAGTCCTAACTTTTTCAGAGGGTAAACATTCGGAAGTAGTCCACCTCCCTTCCTCCTAGTCCTAGTATAGCTAAAACTTGTCCACCATGGGTCTACTCTGCTGGTATTTAAAATACCAGGGGCACAGCTAGCATCACAGCAGCACACAGCACAGTCTGATAAACTGTCAGGTGAGTGGTGGTATGTGTTTTTCCTATAGTGCCACCATTTTGGACTGTTCTCTCTATATTTATATTTATATATATAGATACACACACACACACACACACACATATATATATAGCTCTGGTAGCTATGCATTGTGGTTATGCATTGGGCTGCTAATCTCACGGTCAGCAGTTCGAAACTACTAGCTGTTCTGCGGGAGAAAGAGGAGGCTTTCTGCTCCCGTAAAGATTTACAGCCTTGGAAACCCTGTACAGGGCTGCTATGAGTTGGAACCGACTCCACGGCACAGAACAACAACAAAATATACAAATAGGAGTCCTGGTGTGGTGCTGTGGGTTAATGCACCAGACTGCAAAGTTGTTTGAACTGCAGGATCAGCGGTTCACGCTCACCAGCTGCTCCTTAGAAAGCCTATGCAGGGTCGCTATGGGTCAGAATCAATTTGACGGCACTTAACAACAACATATATGAAAGTAAAGGGAAATGAGACATGCAGAATGAAGGGCTATGGCAGACCCCAATAGCCATTCCTCCACTTGGTCTTTGCTAACAACAGCACTTAATTTGTTCTGGTATTAAGTGTTCCTGTGCTTTATGGCACTCTCTCAAATTGCAATGGTGACTGAAAATGAGTCTAAGCCAATCATGGCTATGTCACCTCCCTCTTCCAGGAGAGGTTTACTAGAGGGATCATGGGAAATCTTCCTTTGCTTAAAAAGTGACTTCGGACAGGAATGCACCTATTCTTGCCTCTGGACATGACTGTATGAGGGAGCACATGATGCTTGGAACTACTGCAGCTAACTTGTATGTTACAGAGGAAAACCAAGAAAAGAGTTCTAAACATGACTGACAGGCTGCAGTTTCCAATAGCTGTCATGTCTTCAGCTTCTTATGTAAAATAATATACCTGTCTCGTAGTTTAGGCCATTTTAAAAATTGGATATTCAATTACTTGTGACCAAAATCATCACAGTTCACATAGGAAGCAAACAAGGGCACTGGATGGCAGGCTAGGGAGGTTAGAGTACACAAAACAAAAAGCCCACACTTAGAGCCTGATGAAATTATATTCAGAGGTTTGTTCTGCAGTTTTAACTGCTATGTAACAAATACGGACTCCTAGTGTGGCACTGTATGATCAGCACTGGAATGTGAACCACATCATCCGCAGTTCTAACCCACCAGCTGCTCTTTGGAAACCCTACACAGAGTCGCTGTGAGTTGGAACTGATTTGACCGCACAAAACAACACAACACATCACAAATACCTTGGAACTTAAAACCAACCAATTCAAGAATTTTTCATCATCTCAAATAGGTACTCTACCACATTCATGGACAGAGCATAAATTGATACAACTGCCAGAGAAAGCTAGTGCTCCTTTGACTCTAGGGATCCTGAGTCAAAGCATAATCCTAAATGCTCAGCGCAAAAATAGGTTAATGGAAGCATTATGTTTTAGTAAAAGGTATGTATCACCAAAATGTCTAACAACTATGGAAATTATTAAATCAATTACGGCAATGTGTAATCATGAAAAGTATTCTGTCATTAAAACTAACTTTATGCTATTTTTATAACACAGGAGAATGCTTATGCTGTAATGATCAATACAAATGTATATAATACTATGCATACTTTAGGCTAAAAATGCATCAGCCTAAATTAAAGAAAACATGCCAAAATGTGAGAAGAATTTGCTTTTAGGTAGTAGAATTACAGGACTTCTTTCTCAGTCTTTACTCTTTTCTACAGTATACTTTAAAAATGTACTACAATATTTGTAAGTATTACTTTTACTAAAAAGCAATTTAAAAAAGAGCCATTTTTTACAAATGACAATTTCTAAACAGTCATATTACTCCCACACTCTAGTCCTTTCAGAACTGATCTTACTGAACAATGGCCAAGGGACATTTGAATATTTATATTCAATATAAATATTTATATTCAATATAACAACATTCACGGGTCATATGAAATTATCAACTTAAAAATTAGCCTGCTATATTTGGATGGCTGGAACTGCAGTTGCCTTGGCAGGGCGAGACCAAATGATTTTGCGGTCCTTAATAAAGCCCAAGGGCCGGACATTCCCCACCTCTGCCTTAATGCAAGGACACAACACTTCATATAGGAGCCAAAACCTTCACACATTAATGGATATAGTCACGATATTCTACAAATACTATTTTAATGTACACATATACTAACTCAAGTATCTCTTACTACCTAAACTCAGAGAAACACAATAGTTAAGATACCCTGGAACAGTTAGAGCAACAGAAGATACATCTTCAAAGAAAAATCATCAGGAAAAACCCAAAACAAAAATGTCAGTATGACTGGCTACTACAAGAATAAGCAAGTTGTTCACTAGGAAGCCATCAAGGCAAGTAATCAAGTTCCTTCAGGAAAAATCCACCTCCAAGACTGAAACTCAAAGAGACCACATGAGCAAGCATGTAAGCTTGCTGGCGACCGCATTGGTCTACCGGTGAGTAGAAGATGTGGAAAGGCAGCAAAGAAGAAATGGGCTGAGTTCAACCACATTCCACAGACTCCCATGTACCTGGGGATGAGAGAGAGAAGCAGGGCTGGTTGGTCCAAAATATGGTGAGACCTGGGGACACCTGAGCCTATGCACAAGGACATAACCACAAAGATCTACAGCTGAGAGTGAAGCACCCAGCTGATATGAAGTGACAGGGGTCACACAAGTACACACAAAGTTGCAGATAGTACCCATTTGACCTAGCCTTGATGACTTGATAAGTAGAACTGACTAAGGAGCTCTGGTAGCGTAGTGGTTACGAATTGGGCTGCAAACCGCAAGGTCAGCAGTTTGAAACTACCAGCTGTTCTGCGGACAAAATATGAGGCTTTCTGCTCCTATAAAGACTTACAGCTTCGGAAACCCTGTACAGGGTCACTGGGTCGGAACCAACTTCAGGGCACAGAACAAAAGGGGATTTAAAAAAAAAAAAGGACAAAACAAATTTTGATAAAGGAAATGAGGGTAAATTGCTACAATTTGATAACCTATACTGATGGAGGTAGTTAACTCTAAATACCAGCAGAGAGGGAGAGAGGGAAGTAGTCTTCACATCAAATATCAATGCTATCCCCTCTGTACACAGGGTAGATAGGGACCGGCAACTCAGACATTGGCTACCTAAAATGAGGTGGCAATAAAGGCACGAAGTGACTGACTTACAAGGTTTCAAGGGGGAGCTTAGTTTAATAGTGTGTGGGGAAAGAAAGAGTCCCCACTGAATAATTTTCATCTTATCTAGATATGTCTGGTTAAAAGAGATGGGGATAAGATTCTTATGATTCAATAGTGAATAACTGTATCATGACTAACTGCAACTCTCACAATTGTAAAGGTAGAAGTTTTGTAACAAAAACAGGGGAGTGGTTAATCTTAACAGTCCAAAAACAAAGGACCCTAGCTAGGATCATCAAGGGAGAAGAACACAAGTAGAATGAGAGAACTTATCCAAAGAAGAAGCGACACCAGAGATGGAGGCAGAGATGGGGACATGGAAAGAGGGAGTATCTGAGGATGCTAGATTCGTGAAAAGTGAGGGACTAAAAGATGGTAGCTAGAAGGCACACTTGCAGAATGTGCCCTTTGGTGGTGTAAATTATTATATATGCTTGAGTGTTTTCAAAATAAAAAAAAAAAAAAGCTAAGGTGAATACAGAGGAAATACTGTTAGTTGATGGTACATGGGGGGGTTATAATCATTGTAATGAAACAAAGAGTATGATTTGTTGAATGTAAAACTGATGTTCTGCCCTGTAAACTTTTACTCAATCCACAATAAAAACCTTAAAAAAAAAAAGGTTAAGATATCAAGGGATGTACTAAAATGAATATAACATCTCCTCACTTATCGACCATCATACATTCTGCATTTTCAGTAGAAAAAAATCTACTATCCAACTGTTTTGTACATTAATGGCGTATGTCTGGCAGTAACAAACACGAAAGTACCAGGTAAGTGTAACGCTAACTGTGATGGTTAAGGATATGTGTCAATTTGGCTGAGCCATGATTCTCAGCAGTTACACAGTTATGGAATGACATAAAGTGGCAGCTAATTAATAGTATCATTTGGAAGTTATATAATGATGTGGTCCATCCTTCCTTTCATATAATGCTGACTTTCACAAAATAACCTTGTCTATGGAAACCGGTCAATAAGCCAGGAGAGGGTGTGCACATCCACACGTACCCAAACACACACAAAGACTAAACTAACAAAAGAAACATTAGAAGAATACTACTCACCAATAAAATGAAACAAAACTACTATATATAACACAAACGAACCTCATAACCATTATGGTGCACTAAAGAAGTCAGGCACAAGAATAAACCCTAGATTCTTCCATTTAAAAGAAGTTCTAAAGCAGACAAAACTCAGAGCTATAGTGATAAAAATCACCATAAGGGAGGAAAGGAGACTGACTAGAAAGGAACCTTTCTGGGATGATGAACATGTTCTATATCTTCAATGGGATGGTGGTTAAACAGGTGCACACATTTAGCAAATCGTATTGAACTGCACCTTACGATCTGTAAATGCACCTTCAATTACACATATTGTTTTCAAGTTTTTACCTATAAGAGTAATGCAATTTAAAATGAGTAGTACCCTTTTCAGATCAAAGCTCTTTGCAGTCTCACTAAACGGCATCTTCATTCTCCCAAATGCTCAATCAGAAATCTGAGAATAATTTTTGACACACTTCCTTATCAACAAAAAATAGCTCAAAGCCATTCATTTCTCCCCACAACCTTCAACATCCATTATCTTAATTCAAACCATTATTAGGTTTCAGCCGGTCCAACACAATAACCTCCATAACCGGTCTTCAGTTTCTATAAAGTAACCCATCATATTATAAAAATGGAATTAAATCAAGTCACTCTTTGTTCAGATCCCTTCAATACCGTCTGATTGTCTTCAAAATGAATACATTCTAAGCTCTTTAAACACGACATACCTCCCTGTCACACACACTTAGCCTTAGAGTACAAACCACTTCCCCCATCTCACCAAATGGGGCTCTCACACCACCCTCCCCTTTCATCTCCATGTTCCTGTCACAAGGACCCTGTTTCTTGAGTATATCATGATCTCCCTTGCCTACTAGCCTTTGTTAATGTTCTGTAAGCAGGAAGACTCTTACCTACACCCTTTAACTAGCTACCTTTCATTCATCCTTCATATCTCAGAGGCTCAAAAGTTACTTCAGGGAATTTTAATTGCCTACAATACCCACTCCCCATACATCTAGTGTCAGTGACCCTCACATCTATTTCTTTCATAGCATTTTTTCAATTGTATATTTAGTTGTTTGTTTAGTGTTCTTTCCTACTAATACTAACAATGATGATGATAACAGTATTTCTTAAAAGCACACAATATACTAAGCACTGGGATGATGGGTTATTCTGTACATAATATTTCTGTTTATCCTCACATCAACCCAATGAGGTAGTGTTACACAGAAAAATAAAGGAAAGAGATAAAGAATGCTGTGCCCACAAGTACTGTTATTATGTTATCTTAAAAAGGCAGTGAGAGAAGAACACTGAGGTCATCTGGCTTCTAAGCAGAGAACTGAATGAAAACATAGAAACTTATAATTCAATGATTCTTAAGCTTTTTCAAGTTTGCACTAACAAGACTAAAAAATAAGAACTTCTTTTCTTTACTCTAAATAAGGGAACTAACTGAATAAACGTGGGGTGGGGCCAGGGTAGATAAACTGTGAGCAACAAAATGTTAAAGAATTCAATTACATATCCTAGTCAAGCTTTCTGTTTGCAATGAAAAATGGCTATTTTATGTTAAAAGCTGAAGGATCTCAAAGCACTATAAAATAATAACCCTACCCCACCACCTTCAGGAGGAAGAGTTCCCATCATACTCATTTTCTAAAGGCAGAGATTAAAGGAATTGCTCAATTTCACAAGTAGGAATAACTAGAGGAGAATCCTGGTGTGGTGCCATAGGTTAAGTACTGGTCTGCTAACTACAAGGTAGGCAGTTCAAACGCATCAGCAGCTCCTCAACAACCCTATACAGGATTACTACATATCGGAACTTACTGGATGCAGCATTTAACAATAACAACTACAAGGAAGATTAATAAATTTTGCAAATATTAGTGATTTAGCATTGACTACGAGTTAAGAGAGAAAAAACACAATTTTAGCTAGGAACAAAGGTTTCTAAGTTAAGGATTTATTCATTTCAGATGGTAAAAGTTACGATTCAGTTATTACAACATTTCTTTATGTTAATGTTTAAAGAAGTTTGTTTTGTTTATCTGATATACTTTACCTTCCTGAAACCACCAGAGTTCCATCATCAAGTAAATAATCCTTCACATTCTGAGGAAGTGGAAGAATGACACTAAAAACAAAAATACACATACCAGAAAAGGAATCATTTTAAAAGACCATAAACAAAGTAAAGAAAATTCCAAACTAATTTATGAGTTATTTGTTTCCTTTACCTTAATATAAAGTGAAAAACGCTAATGATGTACACTTGGTCACAGCAGACCAGGAATTTGAATAATATTAATAAATACTGCAATAAACTAAATAGGTTCTTAAAATTATTGTAATTGTGGTGAAAAACAAAACCAACCAAACCCAAAGGACCAGATGGAAGTCAAAGAATGAAATCAGCAAGCTCAAGAGAATTCTGAGTGAGCACAATGATATGTTTCATTAGAAAAAAAGAGTCTAGCAGATAGTTACAGAAACAAAGGAAATGTACCAAAGGATTAGCAATATCATCTGACCACTTTCTAAGATAAATGACAGAAGTAGAGAAGATCTGGAAACCATACTGTGGTTGACAAAAGCATGCAAGATGAAAAATTTCTGCTCTGTTTGGTGGCAATCCATTCAACTGATTACCAGAAACATAAAGCTGCTTAATGGGGCATGCTATATGTTAATTTGTTTCAGATAATCATTAAGAAGGCAAAGTCATACTTGAAGTTACTTAGAAACAAATGGAATAATTTGCTTATCCTGTTCTTGTAAATTATCAGTAATTTCTGCCACTAATACCTAAGATGTTTTCATCTTGAAGCACATATTTTATTAAAAGTTGAAAAAGATTACAGCCTGCTTTTAGAGAGTTATTAGAACATCATTAATTTATAGTGTGCCTCATTTATTCACTGCAAATGGTTTTTGTGCACAGAAAAGATTATTCATGGGCTACTTGTTTAAAATATCGACATTTTATTTATCAAGGTCCAATATTCAAAATTCAAATTTAAACGCCAAGTCCTTCTTTAGATTTTTAAGTTCAATTAGCATATCTTGTTATTTTATTTATAAACCTACAAACTGTTTACCACTTTTAAGTGAGCCTTGCCAGTATGGTAGTGGTAGTAGTGTGCCATGGAGTTGGTTCTGACTCATAAGGACCCTGACTAGGGTTTCCGAGGCTGTAAATCTTTACAGAAGCAGGAAGCCTCATCTGAACAGCTGACAGTTTTGAACTGCTGACCTCCAGGTTAGCAGCCTGATTCGTAACCAATGCACTACAAGAGCTCCCCTCAATAAATTTAAACTATGTAAGAATAACCTATTTGATTTTCTTTTTGAATACTTTGAGTACAAATAAGTTTTCCCAAGTATTTAACTCATAAGATTAACAAATTAAACTATAAAAGAATAAAGATTGTTTAAACATTCTAATACAATTTAAGAATGCACATTTTTTATTATACATTTTATCGTAATTCTAAAGTAATTACCTAATTTAAACTGGGACCATAAGGCTAATCTGTTATGTATATATTAAATGATTCTCCAAAATCTTAAAGATACCAAACAAATGTAACACAAAAAATAATAGAATTCAAAGTTTGAGTTATTTCATTATCTCTACATTTAATCTTAGTTCTTCAATGAGTTACACATACTTACCCACTAGGATAATATTTTTTTCAGAGAAATAAAGAGTATTTGAATTGAATGTGAAATTTACCTTTTAAGAGCAGGGATGTGAATCCTTGGACATCTAGGGTAATTTTCCTCCTCATAAGAGATAAGCTAGTTCTTTTTTTATGCCAACAATGTTTCTAAATCCCCAAATGGGATACTTTCTGTATACACAAACAACCTTGTTTTTGATTTACACTCTCAGCTCTGATTTGAGTGTGCACCACCCCCACTTCCAGGTTACATCACCTCTTGACAGGACACAAATTATCTAATGATTCTAGTCTGAATTCTTCACATATTTTTTTCTATTTGGCAGGTCCACAACTCTTAGGTATTAAATGACACTGAAGTAGATTCTGCAGAGTTATCAAGAGTCACCCAATTTTATAGTCACAGTTCTAAGGATAACCTAAAGACGTTATCTTGCATCTATGTTATACAAAGTAACAAGGTTCTAAAGGTGATTCCATTAAGCACTCAAAGCCTGGGGGGGTTGGGGGGTGGATGGGGAAGATAGTACATTATACATGCTGTCATACAGATAATCAAGTGCTACCAAAATGTAAAAGAAAAAGAAAATATGCCTGAAAGACTGAGACCATAAACAAGTCACTGCTAGGCAAACTTTACATGAAGCTAATGCAGTTGTTAAAAAAGAGCCTAAATCTGTTATTGAAATCTACTATGCAAGCCAGAGTCTAATGAGACCTGATAGGCAGAGGTAAAAATATTAAATACAAAGTATATATTGTATCAACTGGATATAACTCTATGCATAGTATAAACAAGTTGCTCTAACATAATTTTAGAGATAATAGGAACCTCTGAAAGATTACTTATTACGAACTACATAGTTTAGTAAAGACACAAATTTTTAAAGTTTAAGTAACTTTCACAAAGTCACCTAGTTTATTTATTTTTAAGCCTGAGTGAAAGTTCTAAAAATTGTCAAAAACTAACTTGCTATCTTACTTGCATATTAATCATCTCTGAATCTAATAAACATATAGAGGCATACCCTGGAGAAATTGCAGGTTCAGTTACAAAAAATACAACGAAGCAAATGTTGCAAATATAATAGAGAATCACAGGAATTTTTTGTTTTCCCACTGTACACAAAAGTTATATTTACACTACATATTGGTAGTCTACAGTATTTGGAAAAAGTATGAACTACTGTCGGGATTACGAAAATGTGACAAAGGCATGAAGTGAGCAGATGCTGTTGGAAAAGTGGTAGCGATAGACTTAATCAATGAAGGGTTGCCACGAATCTTCAATTTGTTAAAAAAAAATAAAAAAAGAACTGCAATAAAAGCACACTATTATAAGGTATGCCTGTACTAAGTAATAATGCTGAGGCACTAACCAGAATATGGTCTTTCAACATTAAAGCTGACATTGGCCAAAACACGACCCTATTAGATAGGCCTGGGTTGTGGAAGGATGTCCAGTTGTATGTTGGTTTAGTGATATCACTACAGAGCTAATAGACTAAACAAATGGTTTAAAGGAAGAGTAAAAAAGTTTCAGGCTACATAGTTTAGTTGTAGACTGTTTTATAACACAAGAAAACGCCATACCTTGGTTTATTTATTTTTCACACATAGCTTCATACGAATGCTTACACGTTTTCAGTAAACTAAAATTATTTTTCTTCCATTGGGCTTTAATTAAATAAAAAAAAATACAACAACAAACAACATTTTGTGTCCGAAACAGTGACAAACATTTTAAATGCTTTCTCATTTAATTTCTAAGGCAAAGTTTCCTTTTTCTCAATTTTCCAGATAAGGCTTAGACAGAATAAGCAATTTACTCAAAATGCCAACGGCACCAGAATTAAAAGTCAAGCAGATCACTCTGATTCCCGAGTCCAGTGTGTAACCATTTTGCATTACTTCTGAAAGCAAAGACAAACTGTGTTAGAAGTTACGTAAGGTACCTGCACAGAAACCAAACATCAGTTTTAAGGATACTAGAAGTTAACATGGAGTCCTGGTATGGCGCTAAGGGTTAATGGGCTGCACTGCAAAGTCGGTTTGAACCACAAGGTTGGCAGTTCAAACTCACCCGTTGCTCCTCGGAAACCCAATACAGGGCCATTATGGGTAGGACCCGACTCGATGGCACTTAACAACAAGGCATTAATATGTCTGACAGGTTCATCAATATACCTTCTGTCACACCAACACTTAAATAAATTACCTCAGCATCACTCCAAACCCAAAGTCCACTTGTAATTATGGAAACTAATGAGGACTTGGAATATCATGTAGAAAGAAAACACCTATGCTAGAATGCAATGTACACACTGTTGCTGCTGTTCTGCTGGGACTCTTCCTTTTGTTTTGGTGTAACTTCAACCATCATTAAAGGCAAAGATTATCTTCCTTTGAGCTACCTATGCCTCCCTTACAGGAAGGATAACTAGAAGCCAATCACATGCATGAACTATACAAATTTAAAAAAATGTCTTTTTAAATAACCCCCATAATGTCTTTCCTGGTAGAGTCCTGGTGAGGCGCTGTAGGTTAATGGGCCAGACTGCAAAGCCATTTGAATTGCAAGGTCAGCGGTTCAAGCTCACCAGCTGCTCCTTGGAAACCCTATAGAGGGTCACTGTGGGTCAGAATCCACTGGATGGCACTCAACAAAAAAAATGTGTCTTTGTAGTGCAGTACTGTAGGACAAACCCTGTACTTCTAACTGCAAGGTTGGTGGGTTCTGTAGGACAAATCCTGTACTGCTAACTGCAAGGTTTCTAGTTCAAACCCAAAAGTTGTTCCTTGGAAACCTTAACATATAGGATTGCTGTGAGTTGGAAGCAAATTGACAGTACTTAGCAACATGTGCTTTCAACCCTTTGGTATTTCCTAAGAGTTTCTTTCCCTATATTCACTCTTTGAACCCAGATGAAAAAGAAGAGACAGTATTCAAGTAAGTGACAATAGAGAGTTCAACAGTAAAATACAGAATATTCTATCTATACAAACCTAGTTCTTTGATTAGTCTTCTCAAGAGTGAAAACATATTCTTGCATCATGTACCAGATGCTATGACTGCTTTGGAAAAGCTGGGGGAATTCTCCTAGCTGCCTTTTCTTTACATTACCATGAACGACAGGATGAAAGATGAAACAGTTAATCCTCTGTGTTGCAAACAAAGGATGGATTTTTTTTTTTTCCTAAACCAGAAAGCTAGGAAACTAATTCTGTTCCACTCCTTTTCCAAACACTTTCTCTCATAGCACACTGCTACCCCTAACAACATACATAACTATACGAAAACTTTTCACGTACATTATCATGGTGGGGCTTGACAACAGACTGAAGTAGGAAGGTTCTCATTTTATCGGGACACAAGCAGTTTAAGTGACTCGTTGAGTCAATGGCAAAGCCCAGACAGTGGTCCATGCTCCCATTCTGATAGAAGTGATGGTGAAGGGAACAAGTCTCAATCTTAAACTATGTTAATCCACTACTTACCCGTCTCCTACCCTCACTGAACCACGACCCACCTTCCTTACTCCTCTTTACACAGTCCCTGACACTCAACAGGGCGTATGGCAACTACTAATCTTTTATTTATCTTCCCATTTCAAGTACCACTTTGTTGTTAAGTGTCGCCACTTCCGACTCATAGCGACCCTGTATAGGGTTTCCGTGGAGCGACCGGAGAGTTTGAACCGCCGACCTTGAGTTCAAACCGACCTTGCAGTCTAGCGCATTACCCCACAATCTCGGCACCGTAGCTCCCGTCTAGACTGCAGAAGGCCTGCAATTTTTGGAGAAGACGAGATTCTCCCAAAATGTCGCACTTCCCGTCTGACTACCGCCCCGGCGTAATCCCTCCCATTTTACCTCTTGATAGTGAGACTTCGGAACAGTGGGTACCACGCAGAAAACTGACAGTGCAGCACATGCTCCTTCTTCATCCTCCAGCTGCCTTTCGCTCTTGCAGGACTCTTCCGGAACCCTGGTCTCCGGTCCCGGAAGTAGCCACCGAGCTAGTTTGGCTCAAGGACTCTTCCGGTCTACAAATCAAAGAGGTTAGGAGAAAGGAGAGTGGAGAAGGTACCTATAACACACACACACATACCCCAAAAGAGTTTTGTTCCCCAAAGAGGGATTTCAGAAGTGTTGAAAAGGGAATTTTAAGACACTTAAGTCTCGGCATAGGAGTGCCCTAACCCGGAAGGTAATCAACTAAAACACTATCACCAGCTGAGTTCTACGGGTGCCGGGAAGGAGGCTAGCGCGAATCTTTTTAACCAACGCGAGACGCTATCTCAAGCAGTAGAGTCGCATCTCCTGAGACTGCAGCTCGGGCTCGGTTTTTCTTCTTTCATCTCCCTTCCCACAGGAATTCCCTTCCCTTCCCTCGACACCTTGGAGTAAGTAATTAGGTGCGGATTAACCACCGTACCAGATTTCTTGGGGAGAAAAGGGTGAAAGGAGAGGGAGGTGGCACATCTGGAGCGTGCAAAATAGTTCTTGCAGCCGCGCGCGTGTTTCCCTCTCTGCCGACTCGGCTCACTTCCAGGAAAGCAAGAGAGAAACCGCTGCGGAGGCACGGAAAGAACAAGTTCAAAGGAAAACTAGGAATTTGGATATTAGAGGCCTGAGCTACCTGGAGTAAAGAAAGCGGGAAATGCCGCCGTTAAATGCTAACGTGTGTGGAATGATTGTGGCAGCTGCACATGAAGTATTGAGAGGGTTGAAGGAGAGAGAGAATCCCGTCTGTACCCTTCTGGGGAGTTCGAATTTGGAGACAACAGAAAAGAGGAACATTTCCAGTGAAGAGAAGAGTTGTCTCCTAAAACATAAATTTCATTTTTTCTTGCGCAACAGTAGTATCTGCCCAGAAACACACAGCTAGATTATATCAGTATCCTTGCAGTGATGGAATTCTAGAACTAGAAGAATTCTAACTTCTTCTTTACCTACCCATCCCCTTAATGACATATCTAATGCCAATCAGAATACTGTATTAAGAAACTTCTATTTTGTTTGTTTTTAAAAGAGAGAAAAATCACTAACTGCTACTAAACGCCTTTTAGATCCATCTGGATTTCTGGTGTGGCGCTGTAGGGTCAGCACTGGAGCGTGGACCACTGGTCGGCAGTTCAAGTCCACCAACCAGCTCAGAAACCCTGTACAGGGTCACTGAGTCAGAGCTGACTCTGTGTGACTTAACCATTCTACCAGTGCTTCTTACATGCCTTGGCTGTTTTCCAGGCGCCTATACCTAAGGCATGGAGCTCTGGTATGGCGCTGTGGGTTAATGCGCCAGACTGCAAAGCCATTTGAACAGCAAGGTCGGCAGTTCAAGCTCACCAGCTGCTCCTTGGAAACCTTATACAGGGTCGCTATGGGTCGGAACCAACTCGACGGCACTTAACAACAGCAACATACCTAAGGCACATATTTTAGATTATCTCCTTAAAATCCCACCCTTTTTCTGGTTCTCCTAATCTACTTTTAAATTAGAAAGTCAGAACTTCATCTACTGCTGTCCTCCTAAGAAATAGACTCATTAGGAAAATAAACTGGAACCTGTGTGTGTGTGTTTTAAAGTCTCCTCTCCTTCCCCCAGGAATATACCTTGTTGTTTTTTTTCTCAAAAATGTTACTTTTAAGTGGTTTATTTGGGAGCATTGGCTTTAAAGATATACTTTCAAAGAAAAGGTAAGTAGATCCTAATATTGTCTATGGGGTGTGGTAATGGTTCATTAAACCTACTTCTGAGATCTAGGATTATGCAAATGGCGCTGCGGGTTAATGATGTCGATGTCGGTTTGAACACTAAGGTCTGTGGTTCGAGCTCACCATCTGCACCTTGGAAACCCTACACAGTGTCACTATGGGTTGGAACTGACTCCACGCAGTTAACAACAACAATGGTAGTTGTTGCCAGAATTTTCATCTGTGTTTTGTTTTGTCTCGTCTGGGTGTGGCACTTCCGGATAATTAGCTGGACTGCGAGGTCGGTTTGAACCGCAAGGTCTGCAGGTCAGCCTCAACCGAGTGGCTGCTCGGCGGAAAAGCTCTACAGGGTCACTATGGGTCAGAACGGGCTTCGTGGCACTTAGCAACAAATGGTAGTGCGGCGGATTACGAGCTGAGCTGCTAATGGCAAAACCAGCTATTTAAATCTCCACCTGAGAAAGATGGAGCTTTCGGCTTCGGTAAAGATTTACACCCTTGGACTTCCGGCAACGTGGTGAACTAGGCAGGCGCACTAAGCATACTCTCTAAAACAGATTGTTGTTGTTTTTAAGCGCCATGAGTTGGTTCCAACCCATAGTGACCCTGTATAGGGTTTTCAAAGAGCAGCTAGTGGGTTTGAGTCTCCGACCTTGCGGTTCAAACCGACCTTGCAGTGCAGCACATTATCCGGAAGTGCCACACCCAGACGAGACAAAATAAAACAGATGCAGATGGAAATTCTGGCACTGTGAACTTAAGGAGAAAGGTTAGGGAGGTGGATGGTGTGCTTGCTAGGAGGAGAGCCCAAGCAGGGACGGCCAGAGAGGGAGACTGGTGCAAGCCTGCCTAGATGCGGCCTCACATTGTTGTGAGCTGCTTTGGCAGCAGAAGGAGGCCTGGCAGAGCAGATTCTTGGGACCAATGAAAAAGGTCGATTCTTCTTTTGCCCCTGGTGATGAGCTGTGTGACCAACCCCCCACCTTCATCCGCGCCCCCTACTCTCTGAGAGTTTGGAGCCACGTGGCTGGGAACCATGATAGTGTGAGCTGGGAGTGGGCTACACTGCTTTGGTATGTCGCTTTGGTTCCTGCATTCAGTGGGCTCAGCTCCAGTCCTGAAGAATCCGCAGAGCCACTAGACCAGCATTAACCAGTAACCCTGCCCCCAGCTTCCCTGTGGTCCTAACAGACACTGAAACCACCTCCATCAAGGGCCCCCACAAACTACTTCCAGGTTGAGTGCCAACCTTTTGTACAATAGTCAAGAACATTTTTCACAAGCTCAAGATGCCATAATTTAGCTACAGCAATTTGAAATTCTTGAGCATCTCCTGGCAGTTGAATCTTGTGACTTTTACCTAACCTGGAACATTGTAGCTCTGATACATTAGACCTAAGATGGACTGATGAGTCTCATGTTTCTTAGTTGAAAATTAAAATTAAGGCCAGTCATAAGTGAAATTTTTCCCTAAGCTGCTCTTAGGGAAAAAGATGGAGCTTTCTGTTTGCGTAAAGATTCAGAAATCCTGTACAGGGTTGTTAAGTACATTCTAGCGTAAACTATTTTTTAAATAAAATATAATTGAGATAACTGTTTTATAGCTCAGCATTTGCCAACTTAGGATCAATCTTAATATTGCCAAGACTTTTGGAATTGAGTTTAACTAATTAATTGAAAAGTAGCAGATGAGAATTGTATGTTTTCTAACCTTTTTGGAACTCAGGAACTCTGAGGAAATCTGAGAATCTATAAAGATACTTGCATTAGGGATCCTCACACATCTTTTAAATATCTGAGGTTTTATGTAAACTTAAAGGGATTAGTTGGGTGCCTCTTTGGTGGTGGTGGTTATGTGCTGAGAAGTCGGTTCCGAATCATAGTGACCCTGTAATAGACATTCTGAAGCTGTAAATCTTAATGGGAGCAGAAAACCTCATCTTTCTTCCACGGAACCATTGGTAGTTCAAACTGCTGACCATGAGATTAGCAGCCGGACTCGACTTGTAGCCACTGCTCTACCAGAGCTCCTTGATTGCCCCTTTACCTTAAAGTTATTCACCCTATTTGCATATCCCTACCCAGTTATTTGGCGGAGTTACACAGACAGGGTAGAAGAGCCATGTTAAGTAAGAACAGGCATATCTCATTTTATTGTGTTTCACAGATACTATTTTTTATACATAAATTGAAAGACTATAATAACACTTCATCAAACAAGTCTGTTACCATTTTTCCAATAGCATGCGCTCACTTCCTGTATTTGTATCACATTTTGGTAATTCTCACATCAAACATTTTCATAATGCCATTGCACACTTGAGTGGTGTTACGAATCAGGCTGCTAATCTCACGGTAAGCAGTTTGAAACTATCACCTGTTCTGCTGGGAAAGGTGAGGCTTTCTGCTCCTATAAAGATTTACAGCCTCAGAAACCCTGTACAGCATCGCTATGAGTCAGAACCAACTCCATGGCACATAACAACAACAACAATTGCACAGTTAATAGGCTACAGTATAGTATAAACTTTTACGTGCACTGGGAAAACAAATTGTGTGGCAATATTTATTGTGGTGGTCTGAAACCAAACCTGCAGTATCTCCAAGGTGTGCCTGTGATACAAGGCACCACACAGTACCATAAGGAGCTCTAGTAGCGTAGTGGTTACAAATCGGGCTGCGAACCTTAAGGTCAACGGTTCAAAACTACCAGCCACTCTGCGGGAGAAAGATGAGGCTTTCTACTCCCGTAAGGATTTACACCCTTGGAAACCCTGTACAGGGTCGCTATGGGTCGGAACCGACTCGACGGCACTTAACAACAACACAGTACCATGCTATCTTGATTGCTGTACATTTGTAGTAAGTTTTGAAATCCTTTAACTTTGTGCCAATATAAATTGGATGTGAATCCTTTAACTTTGTACCAATATAATTTTGAAATTGAGTGTGACTAATAGTCAAAGGAAGGAGCTCTGGTAGCGTAGTGGTTACGAATCAGGCTGCGAACCGCAAGGTCATCAGTTCAAAACTACCAGCTATTCTACAGGAGAAAGATGGGGCGTTCTGCTCCCATAAAGATTTACAGCCTCGGAAACCCTGTACACAGTCACGATGAGTCGGAACCGACTCCATGGCACATAAGCCACCAATCAATAGTCAAATAAAGAAGAGTAGAGGAAGAACGGTTCTTTAGAACAAGTCTAAGCAGCCCCCACACTAACCTAATGCCTAGGAACAGGATGCATCTCTTGAAGTCTCTAGCCCAGATTAACTGTCTTCACTCATTTACTCAATAGTGATATCAAGGAGTTTTTATAGCAACATAATTGTCAGGAATGTTGAAGATTGGGCATCGCAAAGAAAAACTACAAGTCCAGGAGATAATTTTGGAAATTATCTTACGTGTGAGGTGCTCAGTTTTTTAACCGGAGCAGTGGTGGGAGAGAAAGGACACTTAGATGTTAGCAGTAATACTGCCTGTGAGAGAGATGTTCTTCAGAGCTATCCACCATACCTAACCAAATGGGCACCATTTGTCCAAAAACAAAGCTCAGAGGGCAAAAGGGGGCAAGAAAGGTGAGCAAATGGAAACAGGAAACTCAGAGAGGAAGTGGGAAGACTGCTGTTAACATTGAGAGGAATGCAGCTGATGTCACAAAGCAAAATGTGTGTAGATTGTTGAATGGGAAACTCATTTACTTTGTCAGCTTCTATCCAAACTACAATCAAATGTTCACAAAAGGAAAGAAAGTAGTAGAGAATTTTTGGTGTAGCACTATAGGATACACTCTGGACTACAGATCACAAGGTCTGTGGTTCATATCTACCAGCTGCTCCTCAGAAATCCTTTACAGAATTGCTATGAGTCAGAATCAACTTGGTGGCACTTACTGACAACAACTGATAAATTATGGCTAGAAAAAGGGAATAAGAGATTGGAAAGTCCTCTGTCAGCTTGGGGATGATTGGTTGTTGTTATTATTAAGTGCTGTTGAGTCAATTCCAACTTACAGCAACCCTGTATAGGGTTTCTGAGGAGCAGCTTATGAGCTTGAACCACCAACCGTGCAGTTCAAACAGCTTTGTAATCTAGTGCATTGACCCACAGCACCACACCAGGACTCCTGGGGATGATAGAGGTTGTTGTTGTTAAGTACCGTCGAGTCGATTCTGACCCATAGCAACCCTGTATAGGATTTCCGAGGAGCAGCTCCTGGTAAGCTGGAGCCACCGGCCTAACAGTTCAAATGGCTTTGCAATCTGCTGGCGCATTAGCCCACAGCGCCACACCAATGCTCCAGAGATGATAGGTAGATGTGGTTAAAGGTGCGTATTCAGGTTTAGACAAGTGAGTTTGAGTTATCAGCTACATAGATGAGGTGTGTTATCCACTGGAATAGCTAAGACATGGAACTGATCATGAACTCTTGGGAAGCACTACTATTTGTAAGAAGTGGAAAGAATTGATTCCACAGATTGATGGAAGAGAAACTCGCTATAGGCGGATTGAGCAGTGGTGTCATCCATTCTGAAGGTTGGCAAGATGGGAAGAAAGAACAAGTTATGAGAACTTTATTGATTTTGGTGCCTTGGGGTATTACATTTTAGAATGGAGGTAACTTACTGTATGGGATAGAAATGGAAGATTTGATGGGTGATATAATTTTCACTTTGAGACCCAGAGATGGAAAGAGAAAATACACTTTTCCTGCTAAGACACTTAGTAAGACAATGAACGCTTGATGGTCTATATCTTCTCTGAAGCCAAAGTTAGGAGATGGCATAGGGAACTGTGAAGTTAAAGAGAACAGTCACAGTTTAGGGTTTGTTGTTGGGGTTAGTGTCGTCAAGTCAGTTCCGAGGAGCAGCTGCTGGGTTTGAACCTTGCAGTTAGTAGTCCAGTGCTTATCCTGTAGTGCCACATCAGGGTAGACACTGAGAACTGTAAATAAAATAATAAGGAAATGAAAAATAGAAATTAAAAACAATAGTAAGACAAAGGATTAATCAGTAAGTCCAATGGCTAAAAAAGTTCCTGAAAGAGAAAAAGGAGGGGAGGAAATAATCAGTGAACGAATTCAAGTAAAATTCCCTGTAAAGAAACAAAATATGTAGTTTCCAGATGAAAAGGATCTGCTTGAGTACACACAGTATGATACACGAAAGCGTTACCACCCCTCAGACCATCAACATGAATAACATCCTTCCAGAGAAAGAAAACAGGTCACAGAGAACAAACATCAAGAATCAGAGGACATACTTCTTAACAGTAATAACTAACAATAAATAACAGCAAGGTAACTAACAGAGCAGGCCTTTCAAGTTTCCACTAGAAAATTATTTTCAACCTGTAGTTCTATCAATCTATTGTGAGCTTATCAAAAGAGATTTTCAGACATGCGAGACACAAAACTGAAGGCATAAATTAAGGGAAAAGCAAGTTGTGGTATAAAACAAATGGGATCCCAACACAGCAGAGAAGAGAGGAATCCCCAGGATGAGAGCTTTGCCACAGTGTCCTGTGGCCTACTCCAGGAGAAAGTTCAGAAGATAAGACTTGAGAGAATACAAGGAGTAAATCACTTGAGGCAAATGTATAAAGCGGAAAGCCTAGATAAGTAGTTTAGTGAGAAATTAGTGATACGTGCATATAAAAAGCAGATGAAACAATGAGTTGTGTTGTAAAAGGAAATTTATTGCAGAGATCTGTGAATCACATGCATTATAGCTATATAAAACTAATCTGATACGGCTCTGTAAGATAAGCACTGGCGCTACCAGCTATTCCTCAGAAACTGAATACAAGGTTACTGTGGGTTGGAACCAACTCGATAGCACTTCACAACTCAGAACTAGGAGTCCTGGTAGCACAACAGTTACGTGCTTGCCTATAAGCCAGAAGATTGGCAGTTGGATCCCAAGAGCAGCTCCATTGGGAGGAAGACCTGGCGATCTGCTCCCATAAAAACTAAGATCCTACAGAGCAGGTCTATTCCTCTGTAACATAGGATTGCTATGAATCAAGATCAGTTCAATGACTCCTAACAATAATATCAAACTTGGTCCCCTTGGTGGTGGTGGTGGTGAAGTGCTCTCGAATTGGTTTCTGACTCATAGTGACCTACTATAGGGTTTCTAAGGAGCAGCTGGTGAATTTGAGCCTCCGACCTTGCGGTCCAGTACATTATCCTGCAGTACCACACCAGAACTCCTTGGTTATTGTTAGTAAGTGTTGTCAAGTTGGTTCCAACTCATAGCTACCCTGTCTAGGGTTTCTGAGGAGCAGTTGGTGGGTTTGAACTGCCGACCTTGTGGTTCGCAGTCCAGTGCTGATCCTACAGTGCCACACTGAAAGTCCTTCGTAGTGCTATTCAAAATTATAATGCAGCTGTTGCTCTGGGAGGGAAGTGAAGCATAAACATGTTTTTTAGAGTTATCAAGGCTTCAGAATATTTGAGATGGTTGTCTCTGGGGAGTGGGATGTGGGAGAAAAGTAAAGACTTTGTGGCCATTGTTAGGTGCCTGTGAGTCGGTTCCAACTCATAGCGACCCCTTTACACAACAGACAAAACACTGCCCAGTCCTGCACTATCCTCAAAATCGTAGTTATAGATGGCACTTTATATGCAGTTAGGACTTTGTGTTAAAAGTTCTTAAAAGTAAATAGAAGGTAGAGACAGCCCCAACAACTGTTTTAAATCTTTGCTGTAAAGGACCGATAAAGAACAATGGTTGAAAGGTGGGCTTTGAAGCATGGTATGTTATTTTTCTGCTCTTCTTGAAAGAGTTTTAGATTTGAAGTCAGAAGATGTGATTTAAAATGTTTATAAATTCATGCTATATGTATAGTAGGAACATAATAGTTAATGTGGGCTAAATCTTAACTGGGATGGTTTAAATCTTTTTGCGAATGTTTCCTACGGTCTTTACATTTGCTTTTCCATCTGGGCGGTTCTCCCAGATCTTCCGTCAAGATGTTAGATAAGTTTTTTTGCCATGTAAATGCTTTGACCCATGGCACAGATGTGTTATTCAGAAAATAATTTTTGTCTAAACAAATCTTACTCTCTTACAGCGTGAACTGCTTACCCGAGGACTGTAAAGACTGACAAGTTTGAAAATGGAAAACCAAGAACCAATGGATTCTTCTCAAAGACCTAAACAGTCTATTATTTCAGAGGAGGTATAAATTGGTTTTCACTTCCTGTCCCTTCCCCACATAATCTGAGTGTAAAATAAATGCGCTATAGGCTAGTTGTTGCTTTCAGTGACTCTTGATAGTTTTTTAAGGTAATTTTTAAACATTGTACCTCCTTTCTTTTTAAGGATCAGGGATATTTTATACTTGTGTAAGAGAAGTAGTGTATCCCTCTTAATTATATGTACTAATTAAAGTGAGACCCTAACAAAGTAGATTTGACTCTTGATAGAAACAAATTCAATTCTTATGAAAAGACTCTGGGTAGAAGAATAAATAACGTCAAGTTTGTTGTTGTTGTTGATAGGTGCCATGGAGTCCGTACCGACTCATAGCGACCTTATGCCCAGCAGAACAAAACACTGCCAATCCTGGGCCAACATCACTGCAGTTGCCACGCTTGAGTCCATCAATGCTGCCTCTTGGCTAATTCATCTGGTTGGGGGACTTCTCTTTTTCTCTGACACTCCACCTTACTAACAATGCTATCCTTCTCCAGCAACTGATCCCTCCTGATTATATGTCCAAAGTATAAGGGGCGAAGTTTGGCCATCTTGGCCTCCAAGGAGCACTCTAGCTGCATTTCTTCCAAAACGGATCTGTTGGTTCTTTTGGCAGCCCATGGCACTTTCAGTATTCTCCTCCAACACCGTAACTCAAAAGCATCAATTCTTCTACAGTCTTACTTATTCACTGTCCGGCTTTTGCATGCATATGAGGTTATTGAAATTACCATGGCTTGGGTCAGGTGCACCTTAATCTTCAAGCTGACATGTTTACTCTTCAACACTTTAAAAAGGTCTTACTGTGTAGCAGATTTGCCTAATGCAATACGTCGTTTGATCTCTTGACTGCTGGTTCCGTGAGTGTTGATAGTTGATGCGAGAATAATGAAGTTCTTGACAACTTCAATCTTTTCTCCATTGATAACAATATTGTTTATTGGTCCAGTGGTGAGGATTTTTGTTTTCTTGGCATTGAGATGTAATCCATACCGAAGGCTGTGCTCTTTGATCTTCATTAGGAAATGTTTTAAGTCCTCTTCACTTTCAGCAAGCAAGGTTGTATCATCTACATATCACAGGTTGTTAATAAGTCTTCCTCCAATCCTGATGCCACGTTTTTCTTCATATAACCCAGCTTCTCGGATTATTTGTTCAGGATACAGGTTGAATAAGTATAGTGAAAGAATACATCCTTGTTGTACCCCTTTCTTAATTTTAGACCATTAGTGTTCCCATGTTCTATTCGAACAACTGCCTCTTGGTCCAGGTACAGACTCTCATGAGCACAATTAAGTGTTCCGGAGTACTCATACTTCACAATGTTGTCCATAGCTTGTCATGATCCACACAATTGAAAACCTTTGTGTAGTCAATAAACCACAGGTAAACAAACGTCTTTCTGATATTCTCTGCTTTCAGCCAAGGTCCATGGGACATTAGAAATGATATCTCTCGTTCCACGGCCTCTTCTGAATCCGGCTTGAACCTCTGGAAGTTCTCTGTTAATGTATGATTGTAGCCGTTTCTGTATTACCTTTACTGTATAAACTTTACTCGCATGGGATATGTAAGAGATTGTCCAATGATTTCCGCATTCTGTTTGGTCACCTCTCTTTGGAATGGGCACAAATATGAATCTCTTCCAATCAGTCGGCCAGATAGTTGTCTTCCAGATTTCTTGGCATAGATAAGTGAGTGCCTTCTGTGCCTCCTGACTTCCTTGAAAGATTTTAATTTTCATTCCATCAATTCCTGGTGCCTTGTTCTTTGCCAATTCCTTGAATGCACTGTGGACTTCCTCCTTCAGTATCATTGGCTCTTGATCATATGCTACCTCTTGAAATGGTTGAACATTAACCATATTCTTTTGGTACAGTGACTCTGTGTATTCCTTCCATCTTCTCTTGATGCTTTCTACATCATTCAGTAATTTTCCCAGAGGATTTTTCAGTAATGAAAGTCGAGGCTTGAATTTTTTCTTCAGTTCCCCCCGTTTGAGAAATGCTGAGTGTGTTCTTCTTTTTGGTTTTCTGGTTCCAGATCTTTTGCACATTTTTTTGTCGTATTTGGTCATATCTTTTTGAGCTGATCTTTAAATTTTTATGTTCAGCTCTTGGACCTCCTCATTTCTTCCATTTGCTTTAGCATGTCTACCCTGGAGAGCAAGTTTCAGTGTCTCTTTTGACATCCATTTTGGTCTTTTCCTTTTTCTTGTCTTCTTAATGACTTTTTGCTCTCTTCCTGTGTGGTGTTCTTGATGTCATCCCACAACTCTTCTGGTCTTCTGTCTTTAGTGTTAATGTATCAAATATGTTCTTCAGATGATCTCTAAATTCAGGTGGGATATATTCAGGGTCATATTTTGGCTCTCGTGGACTTGTTTTCATTTTCTTCAGCTTATGTTTGAATTTGCATATGAGAAATTAATGATCTGTTCCATAGTCTGCCCCTGGCCTTGTTTTGACTGATGATTTTATGGAGCTTTTCCATCATCTCTTTCTACAGACGTAGTCAATTTGATTTCTGTTTATTCCATCTGGTGAGGTTCATGTGTATAGTCGTCTCTCATGCTGTCTAAAGAAGTTATTTGAAATGAACAAATCATTGATTTTGCAGAATTCTATCATGCGTTCTCCCGCATCATTTCTATCACCAAGGCCATATTTTCCAACTACTGATCCTTCCTCTTTGCTCCCAACCTTTGCATTCCAATCACCAGTAATGATCAATACATCTTGATTGCATGTTTGATCGATTTCAGATTAAAGAAGTTGGTAGAATTCTTCTATTTCATCCTTACTGGCTTTAGTTGTTAGTGCTTAAATTTGAATAATAGTGGTATTAACTGGACTTCCCTGTAAGCACATGGACATTCTCTCACAGATAGCATTGTACCTGATGACTGATCTGGATATGTTCTTATTGACAGTGAATACAACACCATTCCTCTTCAATTTGTCATTTCTGGCATAGTACACCATGTGGTCATCAGATTAAAAATGGCCAATACCAGTCCATTTCAGTGCACTAATGCTTACTATAGTGATGATTATGTGCTCCATTTCATTTTTGACAACTTCCAATTTCCCAGATTCATACTTCGTACATTCCATGTTCCAATTTTCAGTGGATGCTTACAGCTGTTTCTCTTCATTTTGAGTTGTGCCCCATCAGCAAATGAAGGTCCCATGGGCTTTTCTCCCATGGGCTTTACTCCATTCACATCATCTCAGTCAACTCTACTTTGAGAAGGCATCTCTTCTACAGTCACATTTTGAGTGACTTCCAACTTGAGGGGCTCATTTTCCGGCACTCTATCTGACAGTGTTTCTCTGCTATTCATAAGGTTTTCAGTGACTAAATATTCGGAAGTAGTTTGTCACTCCTTTCTAGTTTGTCTTTGTCTGGAAGCTCATCTGAAACGTGTCCATCATGGGTGACCCTGCTGGTATTTAAAAGACCAGTGGCATAGCTTTCAGAATCACAGAAACTCACAAGCCACCATAGTAGGTCAAACTGACAGACGAGTGGTGGAACATCAAGCTTAGGTATAGATATTTGATACTTAGATCTCACGTCCTAGTTGTTCATAGTTCGCACATGTCTGCTTAAGAAAAATAGAAACCTAAAAGGTTAGTCATAGTCTGATTCCAGCGAGTTCTAGAACTAATGTATGTCTTGCATGTTAGTCTCTTTATTTTTTTTAAATATCTTCCTGCAGGAAGTATTGTAATGGTTATATATTTAATATTTCCTCTTGTAACTCTGTTCTTGACAGCTTTTGAAATTCTTCTTCAGTTAAAATTGTTTCGTGTTGTCTATGAACAGATCTGCTGATAATTATTAGGTTGCTGCTGGCAAGAAATGAAAGATAGGCTAGTAAGAAAATTGCTACTGCTTTATGTGCACACTGAGACTGCCCTCTGAGTTCCGTGTAGTGTCGTAGGTAAGTTAGTGCTTGCCACCAAACTCCTCAGTGTCGAAGCAGAACAATCCTGGGGGGCCGCTGTCAGGTTGGGTGGGACATCAAACATGTCATCGTAAAACATGTAGTCATGGACATGGCTTCTCCACTGTTCTTGTTTAGTTACATTGACATAAAAAAGCATTCATGAATGTTTACATAGTAAAACACCTCTGTGACTAGCACCCAGATAAGAAGACAAAATGTTAGGAGCATCCCATAATACACTCTCCTCTACTCCTGTGTTTGTTTCCATTTTCTCTCACTACTCCAGGAGTTTTTAGACTGTCATTTCTTTTCACCTCCAATAATACCTCAAGACCCCAAAAAGAAACAGAACCACCCTTTAGGAAAACTCTTGTAATACTTACTCTGAACTGAATGCTTGATCACAAATTACTGAGAGGGGAACAGGACGATTGGAGGACCACATAAAGAAAACTCAAGAAAAAACAAAAACCTTTTGTTGTTGTTAAGTGCTGTTGAGTAGATTCCAACCCATAGCGATCCTGTATAGGGTTTCCAAGGATCAGCTGATGAGCTTAAACCGCCGAACTTGCAGTTCAAATGGCTTTGCAGTCTGGCGCATTAGCCCACAGCGTCACATCAGAACTCCTTTTAGATTATTATAAATCCAGTTTTGTTTGAACACTTCCCAACTTAATGTCTGATCTCCTTTTAGTTAATTTCAGAAGGAAAATGGGTCAAGCTTGAAAAAACAACTTACATGGATCCCACTGGTAAAACTAGGTAAATTAACTTTTTCCTCTTATAAAATGATTGGTTTGGGGATTATCAGGGTCTCTGTTTGGTGTTGGCATATATTTTTTTATATTGTCCTCATTATAAACTCTATTAAGTAATCTAATTTGATGCTACTTCCCATAATTAGAATGTTTGAATCTCTGAATAAGATTAGGTTGTAAATTGGTTACATTACAACAGCTAATCAGGAATCTGTTTTACACCATTCTCCATAAATAACTAGAATGGACCTAAAATTTTGGGGCCAGGCCTAATAAGCTACTTCTGACAATACAGTAAAAAACTATCAGTGCACGTGACTTCCTTATAGTTAGTATTTTCAGTAGTTAATATTTTCCATTCTAAAGGTGAAAAATTAAAGAGAAACATTGTTGTGTTAAGAATACTTGGTTGTGGTAGTGATGTGCTGCAGAGCTGGTTCCGACTCATAGTGACCCTGTACAGGGTTTCAGAGGCTGTTAATCTCTACGGGAGCAGAAAGCCTCATCTTTCTCCTGTGGAACGACTGGTAGTTTTGAACTGCTGACCTTGAGGTTAGCAGCCCGATTCGTAACCCCTATGCTACCAGAGCTCCTTGTTAAGCATACTTATACCCTACTAATGGGAATGTAAATTGGATGTACTCTTATGTAGATTATTTCACAGTATTTATCAAGAGCTATAAAGATATTGTACCCTCTGACCCAGTAAATCTGATTCCTGATTCCTGTTTATGAATGAAAAATTATCACCAAAATTTTAAATGCCAAAGAAAGCAACCTAAACATCTTAAAAACAGAGAAAATGTATTGTTATAATTTTATACTAAAATCTATGCAACCATCTAAAAAAGCAAGTGATAAAAATAACTACAGGAGAAGATAGTAACTTGAAAAGAAAATAGTGTATACATTTTTAAACTGTATCAAGCTAATGCATAAGAAAAGGCTGGGTGTAAAAACTATTGTTAAATGCCTTCAAGTCACTTCTACATTGTATAAGGTTTGCGGGAAGAGAAAATGTAATTTTTCTCCTATGGAGAAGCTGGTGGGCTCAAACCACCAACCTTATGTTTCACAGACCAGTGCTTATCCTGCAGAGCCACCTCACTAAATATTAATGGTGGCTTTGCAATTATAAATACATTATATATTTATTCAGTGAGATTTAATAAAACAGTGAAAAATAAGATAACATGATATAAATTTATGAAATAATAAAGTTAATATCAAAATTTCATTTGTTTAGTAATCAAATAAAAGTAATAATTTCTGTGTGAGGAGATAAGTATCATCGATGCAAGTAGCATGGGCTTGTTAACTATTTAAACAACTTTTTACGTACAAAATCAGAAAAAAACATAAATGAGGTCCAGTGTTTGGAGAGCTATTTGAAACTTATATTAAGGTGTCCACAGCACCATAGAATTAAAACCCCAAAGTAAGAAAGCTGTGCACACTATAACCATCAAAAAAGTGGAGAAACAGAACTATTTAAAATGTCAAGTATGTGGATTTAAATATGTAGAACTAAATATGAAACAAGTAGAGGTAGAAACCAAAGTTAGTATAGAAACATAGTAAGGCCCAAGCCTTAGGGAGCACAGTTTGTTCAAATGTTCTTAAGATGTACTTATGAAAATACATAGATTGAAATCCAGTATACAGTGATGTTGTTGTGTGCCATTGAGTCAGTTCTGACTCATAGTGGTCCTGTGTAGTGTTTCTGAGAACAGCGGGTGAGTTTGAACTGTTGACCCTATGGGTACCAGTCTAGTGCTTACCTCATAGCACCATAGCAGGACTCATATACAGCGATAGAATTTGGGTTTCTCTTTTCTATAAATTGCTTAAGTTTGTAAAACAAGTTATAATCCTTGATACTAATCCAGGTGTGGCTCTGAGGGTTAATGCACTAGACTGCAAGTTCAGATTGAATTGCAAAGTCGGCGGTTCAGGTTCTCCAGCTGCTCATCAAAAACCTTATACAGGTTCAGTAGGAGTCGAAACCAACTCGACAGCACTTCACAACAACAACAACGTGTGTTGATTTATACTAGCTCGCCTCTTCTCTGATTATTCTTCCTTTTCAGTGTATATTTTTTTAAATCTGGTATGTGCATCAGAATCACTTATGGATGTTTTCAAAATCTTAATGGCTAGGCCTCAGTTCATGAGAATCTATTTCAGTAGTTTGGGAGTGGGACTCTATAGTCTGTACAAACTACCACATTTATAAGACGTGTCTATAACATGTTCAAGGAGCGCTGGTAGCGTAGTGGTTACGAGTTGGGCTGCCATGTGATCTTAGAAGAGATTGAATCTCTGTACTTTCCAGTAGACTGTAATTTATCAGTTAATAAAGTATTTTCTATGTATTACCAAATATCAAAGCATATATATAAGGGATAGAATAATACTGAGAATCCTTTGATTCATTGTCTTGCTCATAGAGAGAATATGAAATTAATTTTAGAACTAGAAAAATATGCTGGCATTATGCCTCTTTGTTAACATTCCATTCAAGGTACTGTTGAAGTCATCTTTTGTCACCCTTCCTATGTCCTATATTACTTGAGTAGGAGAAAGAAAGCAAAACCATTTTCTATAACATAAGGAAACTAAATGATGGAGTAACTTAGAAACAGAATTCTAAAACTGGAAGAAACTGTCAACGTAGCATGCCCTTATTTCCTGGTTTTACAAGTAATGAGGGCTTTGGGTTTAGCTAGGAGGCAAGTGTGTTGATTAGTGCAACCCTGTCTAGGTTTTCCAAGGAACGGCTAGTGAATTTGAACCTCCGACCTTGCAGTTCAAATTGACTTTGCAGTCCAGTTCATTATACTACAGTTCCACACCAGGGCTCCAGTAGGCAAGGAGCAGCTAAGAATTTCTACTCTCAGTCAAGTATATCTTTTAAAGTCCTGTTAAGATTACTGGAGTGCTCACAGGGCATTCTTATTCTTGTATTTATTATAAATGCGTTTATATTTCATTGCTTATTACTTATGACTCATGACTGTTTCTTTACTCAGCTTAATCACTGTAATGATGTTATTCCCTTATTCCTAGTGTATTTGGGATGGGATCTACAGTGCTTTACCCAGCATTATCGTCTTCAGTCTTTAGGACTAACGTTAGGAGGCAGCTGTGAAAGTTGTACCAAAGGTGTTTTTGTCTCTTCAAACCTGTATTACCTACTTACCTGGATTGCTTGTTGGTTGGCTTCTTGCTACTAACAGGAATGTTGAACTGCTGTTAGTTGTCATAGTAGTTGGTTTGATTTTCATAGGTACATTTTGATTTGTTAGTACTTTAGAATTTCGGTACAGTGAAGAAATAGCTGCAGTTTACAGAAAGTTTGTTTTACTGTTTTTGTTAAATCAGATGAAATATTATAAAATTTTTTACAGAAATGTGGCAAAGTCCAAACCTTAGGGCCAACTATGTAAAAAGTTAGGTTCCTCAGAGTTGTGCATCATATAGCCCTAACTATGTAGTTGTTAAGTGCTATCGAGTTGGTTTGACCCATAACGATCCTTTATAAGGTCTCCAAGGAGCGACTGGTGAGCTTGCACCGCCGACCTTGCAGTTAAAACAGCCTTTGCAGCCTAGCACATTAACCCACAGTACCACACCAGGACTCCAACCCTAAGTATATTGTGTTTGTTGTTAGGTGCCATTGAATCGGTACCAACTCATAGCGAACTTATGCACAGCAGAACAAAACACTGCCCGGTCCTGGGCCAACCTGACAATTGTTGCCACACTTGAGCCCATTGATGCTACCACTTGGCCAGTCTATCTCGCTGGGGGTCTTACTCTTTTTCTCTGACCCTTCACCTTAGCAAACATGATATCC